GTATTTGTTCAAAAGATGTACAGTAACAGGCTATCCAAATTTAGTTACTGTTTTCTGGTCTCTCTTGTCCATAATACTAATCACGTTCAGTTCATAACTGAAGAACAAAAACAAAAATGATGGAAGTATGCAGCAAATAGGATTGGGAAACATAGTACACCACAGATTGAAGACCCTACGTAACTAATGGTCAGCTAACCCCCACTCCTTATAATCTTATACAGGACACAGGAGGAAGAATAGCAAATTGTTGAAAGGAGGTGAAGATAGCGGTTCCATGTGCCTATTGCAACTCGAGAAAGAAATGCTATTCCATGAGTAAGATATGTCTATTTATTGGTGACAATGACCCGGAAGTGCATTCTGTAAGGTTGTGTGTTGTGAAGTCTCAAAGAATACTTTCAGTTCTACATTATACTGGGACTGCAGCAGATGATGGAATGAAAAAGGAAAAAGCACGTTTGAACTGATCCTTTCTGGTGGCTCAGTGGTTAGCACTGCTGTCTCACAAGCTCAATTCCACCCTCGGGAAACTGTCTGTGTAGAGTTTGCATATTCTCCCAGTGTCTGTGCGGGTTTCCTTCGGGTGCTCCGGTTTCCTCCCACAGTCCATAGCTGTGTAGGCTAGGTGGATTGGCCATGCTAAATTGCCCATGGTGTTCAGGGATGTGTAGACTATTGGGTGATGGGTCTGGGTGGGATGCTCTGAGGATCAGTGTGGACTTGTTGGACTGAAGGGCCTGTTTCCATACACTGGGGATTCTATGGATCTGCATGCCACAAATGCATATGTCCGTGACAGTATCGGCTAGAATGAACACCGCACGGTCTTTGTAAAGACAAAGACCTGTTTTAACATTGAGAATTCCTGACAGTGTTGTATAGCACTATCAGTGTGCTGTCTTTGAACAGATGTAGCAACTCAAGATTAGACATCCACGAGACATTTTGGGTCACCAGCAACAGTAGAATTGTACTCCAATACAATCTGCAACCTCTTAGCCTGCCCTATCCCCAACTCTACCATTACCATCAAATCAGGGGATCAATCCTGTTAAATGAAGAGTGCAGGACAGCATGCCAGAAGCAGTACCAGGCATACCTAACAATGAAGTGTCACCTTGGTGAAGTTACAAACACGCTACATGTGTGCAAAACAACAAACGATAGCCTGAGCTGAATGATTTCACAACCAATGAATCAAATTTTAGCTCTGCAGTCTTGCCACAATCAGTTGCGAATGGTGGTGGACAATTAAGCAACCCTCTGAAGGAGGCAGCTCTGCAAATATCCCATCCTTAATAATAGGAGATCGCAGCATATTAGTGCAAAAGAGAAGTCTAAAGTATTTGCAACAACCTTCAGCCAGAAGTGTCAAGTGGACGATCTACCTCAGGCTCCTCCAGATGTCCCCAGCATCACAGATGCCAATCTTCAGTCAATTTGATTTACTCCACTTCACATCAAGAAATAGTAAGAGGAAGTGGATGCTACAAGGGCTATAGACCCTGATACCATTCTGGCAGTAATACTAAAGACTTGGCCTCCAGAACTTCTTGGGTCCCTAGTCAAATTAATTCATTACAGCTACAATACTGTCAACCACCTGGTAGCAGTGAAAAATTACCCAGGTACATCCTGTGAACAAACAGCAGGACAAATCCAACCCAATCAATTACTACCCCATCAGTCTACTTTTAATGATCAACAAGGATTGAATGTACCATCAACTGTCCTATCAAACATCACTTGTTCTGTACACAGACATTTGGTTAGGAATCTGCCAGGAACACTAAAGTCATGATCTCATTACAGCCTTAGTTCAAACATGGATAAAAGAGCTGAATTCCAGAGTGTGGCATCATGAAGCCCTATCAAAATTTGAGTCATGGGAATGGAGGGGAAGCATCTCCACTGGTTGGAGTCATACCTTGAACAAAGGAAGATGGTTCTGGTTGTTAGAGGTCAATTATATCAGCTCCAGGATATCTCTGAAGGAGTTCCTTAGCGTAGTGTCATAGGCCAAAAAATCTTCAGCTGCTTCATCAATGACCTTCCCCACATTCAAAAGATCAGATGTGGGATGTTCACAAATGATAGAATAATGTTCAATACCATTCATGACTCCTCAGATACTAAAGCTGTCCATGTCCACATAGAGTAAGACCTGGACAATATCCATGTTTGGGCTGACATAGAACATAGGACAGTACAGCACAGTAATGGGCCTTTTGTCCCACTATGTTGTGCCGAACAGGACGCCAAATTAACTAATGCCTTCTGCCTCCATTCCTTGCATATTCATGTGCTTATTTAAAAGTCTCTTTAATGCTCCTATTGTATCTACATACACACCCACCCCTGGCAGCGCGTTCCAAACTCCTACCACTCTGTGAAAAAAAAATCCTGCCCCTCAAATCTCTTTTGAACTTTTCCCCTCTCATCTTAAATGCACACTCCCGAGATTTAGTTATTTCAACTCTGGGAAAAAGATTCTGACTGTCAACCCTATCTATGCATTTCATAATTTTATAGACTTCTATCAAGCCTCCCCTCAGCCTCTGCTGCTCCAGCCTCTTGTTATAGCTCATACCCTCTGATCCAGGCAGCAACCTAGTAAATCTCTTCCGCACCCTCTAAAAAAGCCTCCACATCTTTCCTGTAATGTGGCGACCAGAATTGAACATAGTACTCTAAGTGTGGCCTACCCAAAGTCTTATAAAGTTGCAACATGACATCCTGACTCTTGTACTCGATTCCCCAACCTATTAAGGCGAGCGTGCCATATGCCTTCTTTACCACTTTATCTAGTTCCATGGCCACTTTCAGGGAGTTATGGACTTGAACCCGAAAAATCCCTCTTGTACTTCAATGCAGTTCAGGTTCCTGCCATTAACTATATACCTTTCCTTAACATTTGATCTCCCAAAGTTCAGCATCTCACACATACCTTGATTAAACTCCATCTGCCATCTCTCTGCCCATTTCTGCAACTGATCTGTATCCCACTGTATCCTTTGACAACCTTCTACACTATCCACAACTCTACCAATCTTTGCATCTTCTGCAAATTTACCAACCCACCCATCTACATTTTCATCCAAGTCATTTATATACATATCACAAACAGCAGAGGTACCAGTTCAGATCCCTGTGGAACACCACCAGCCACGGACCTCTTCTGGATGAGCCTACCTCAAATCCATGTAACATTTGTGCCACACAAGTGCCAAGCACTGACCACATCCCAGAGAGAATCAAACCATCATTCAATGACATTACTAACACTGAATCTCCCATTATCAATATCATGAGGGTTGAGACACCAGAAAGTGAACTGAACTATCCACAAAAATTCTCTGGCTACAAGTGCAACTCAGAAACAAGAAATGCTGTATCAAGTAGCTCACCTCCTGATTTTGCAAAGCCTGTCCACCATTTCAAGGCACAAGTCAAGAATGTGATGGAATACTTCCCACTTGTCTGGATGGGTGCTGCTCCACACTCAAGAAGCTTGACACCAGGACAAAGCACTTGCTGGATGGGCACTACCTACACAAACATTCACTTCCTCAATCACTGATGCTCAGTAGCAGCAATGCACACCATTAACAAGATTCATTACAGAAATTCACCAACACTTCAAACCCATGACCATTACCATCTGGAAGGGCAAGGGCAGCAGATACATGGGAACACCACGAGCACCTGCAATTTCCTCTCCAAGACATTCTTCATCCCAACTTGATAATATATCACCATTCATTCAGCATCACTGGGTCAAAGTCTTAGAACTCCCCAATAATATTGTTGGTCTATCTCTTCAACATGGACTGCAGCAATTCAAGAGGCAGCTCACGAACACCTTCTCAAGGGTAAGTAGGGATGAGAGCAATAAATGCTGGCCAACCAGTGATGCCCATAGCCCCTGAATAAATAAGAAATTAATGTTGGATACTTTGAGTTGCCTTGTCAACACCATCTTGACCTTCAAAACTATCACAGTGCACTCTCATTATTGATTACTTATTCAACATGTTAAGGATGAAACAGAATTTTTTTGCACTCCAATGTTAGGAATGCAATGCTGGCCCATTAAACCCTGCCATAGACTCTGCAATCTTATCCTCCTGGATCCCCATTAAAGCTGAAATGAACAGCACCCAACTTCAATGTCCTGGTAAACTGAGCTCAATTACAAACCCAACATTTGACCACTAACTTCCTGCTCAAAATATATTGCCAGTCCCGTTCCCAAGTTCATCCCCACTGCCACTTAAACATTTAATCATACCTTTGTCACATCTCAATTTAATCTATAAGCTTGGTGGGAAATCCCTCCACATCCTTGCTTCTTGCTATTTCTTCCAACCATATGTCTCTGCTTTGAAATTTAGCTCTTTGAATTCTGGTCTATTCTGTTCATTGTTTCCCATCCCAACCATCATTGTCAGAGACTTCTGCCAGTTTTCAATCACTTTCAGCACACTCCCATCATGCCTCTTTCTTCAACATCTCTAACAGCCTACATATTTTCCTTCAGTTACAACCCTTAATTCTCCTCTTTCTCTTGCCCTCGAGCCAAATCCAAAGTGAGATATTTGTATAAGAGTAAAAGTGCAAGATCTTGGATACTATTTTAGGAGTATCAGCAGCTCTCCAAGACATCACCCAACTGAACAGAATTGGTGTGTTGTTCCACTATGGGGACATCACAATTGATCTTAAGAATTGTCCTTAGCCAATATTCATGCATTTTTAGAAGCAATATCGAGATGGGAATTAGGAGCAGATAATCTGTTTGCGTCAGGTTCTCAAACATCGGGAGTACTACAAACTTGAGATCAACAAATTCCGCAAAGACTGGTCTACAACTCTACATGGCATTGCATTTACTGGTTGAGTTACCTGAAGGGCTCTTCATTATTGCCTTTAATGCTCAGGGATTAAGATTTTTCTATAGAAGGCCTACTTACAAATCATGCAACACAACAATTTAATAAGTTGTCAAATCATTCACATTTATTAGCATAACCTAGAAATACAGATCACTTCAAGAACACCTCATTGACTTCTTTATTTTCTGGCAACTCAGATTTATTAGTTAAAAATACTCATGATTAATGGAATCATTACAAACAACAACTCAATACGTCAAGCCAGTTGATCTTGAAACACCAAGTGACTGATTATCCTCATAGAAAGGAACAGCAAATATATACATACACTCAATCTGTACACCGATTCAGGCGTCCTTATTGGCTTGTTTTTCAAACTGACTGTATGGATAGCTCAGAACTGTGACAAGCAAAAATGCTACATTTTCAACATGCTTCAAAAGAACACAAAAGCAATATCCCATATATGGAATTTCACCATCAGACCACATTAATCCTGAGTCAGCAATGTGTTCAGAATGTAAAAAGGTGCAAAGTATTCGTTTTTAGAAAAAGTATTGCATAGCCTGGCTCCCCAAACTGGTTTGTTGCGAATAGGTCAGCAAATTATCTGTCCCAGAATTTCTGATTAAATTGTTATTTCACAGACAATTAGACTGTGTAGACTATGGAAGTGAGTACTCTGTCTCAGATCCATCAGATGTTCCTCAATGAGGAATCACTCAATTATTGCTTACCCTGGTGATCCAAGTTGACATCATGAGATACTGAAATGGGAACCATGGCTGTTTTGAGAATTGGCCTTGCAGTCATTGATCAGTCAATTTTCCCTTTCAACCCCAATCTGACCAAAATTTTTAACAGCATATTTGAAAAATCAATGTGGAAAATTAAATCTATAAAGTGGTTGCAAGTCAAAATTATCAAAATCAATACAAGTAAAACAAGTCAGTTTGAACAGACATGAGGACACTGCTCCAAAATCAGTTGCTTTTGCTCATCTGAAGATTTATTACAGTGAAATAACTGTTCATTTCCTGTGTTGCCATTCCAAGAGGATGATTGTGCGTCTGCCTCAAGCACATGGATTCTTATTGGGCATTGAAATTGACAAGGATATGAGCAAGCATTAACAAAAAACAAGTTCAAATTCAGCTGGTGCACCAAGGTTTTGAATCATTTTACCTCAATGGCTTCAAGTTTTCATTAATATGTACTTACTTTGCCCTCATTTTTGTTAAGTCTGAATTTTAGTCATATTACCTTTGGGAATCCTGAAGCTAGTAGTTCCCAAAGGAGGAAATAGTAAAAGAACAGTTATTTGTGGGCTACTCATACACATTTCACCCAGCATTTGGTTCTGTGTAGCATCAGCAGAAAGAGAAATTCATGTGTATTACCAATCTGCTCTCTCAGCCTGACAATCTTTTTCAGGGGCAGGATCGGGGGAGCAGGAGAAAATAAACATGTCCACCTCAAAATGCCAACATTTTGTTGGTTACAGTTCTCATTTCCTTTAAACTAATAGGCATTTTCATAAGTTGTTGCAGTTTTAAAAAGCTGGTTCTTGAGTACAGACATATTCTATCATTGTTTAACTTGTATTAACAGATATTTACAGGAAAAAAACATATTATTGATAATTATACACATTTACAACATTAACAGGAAACTTATTGGCCTCTAATTTACAGTTCAGCAGAGGCCTTCAGCTCTAACTATCACTGTAACTCCTTCTAAATGCAGTCACCCTTTCACCCTTTCACTTGGTTTGAATTTAAAAGTGCTGAAAGGCAAAAAGAAATTTTAGTGATTAGATTTCCAGGTGTTAGAAATGCTTCAGTTAAGACCTGAAAGATGAAGCAATATTACTCCCTATTTCTTTTATATCCTTCTCCAGCCATTTAAAATTTACTTCATCTAAACTTTCAAATCAAATCTGCTTCATTATTTCCCCCTTCAACTGACTCATCCTGTTTCAAGCTCTCAGTCAGTTAGTCTGCTATTCTGCTTGAGAAACATCTGTAATCTCTGCCATGGGCAACAGGATAAAATTTGGAGCTCAGCAAGTAGGAAAATCTATCAGTGAAGAATCATTACTCTTATTTGGAGCTGATACAAATTTGCTGCATGTTTTCTGAAGATAGAGATTGTTCTAGATGGTGGCATAGCACCATATGAGGGAGAGATCTTACTTATGATGTCAAGAAAGATTCAGCTCTTCTGAAATTGAAATGGGAACAGAATTGTTTCATTTGCTTGAACCCAAAGGTTGTTTTTGTTTTTATTGTTTCATGGCAGGAGGGGAAACTTTTAATAAGAATGTGTGGAATATTTTATCACTTTTCTTCTTGTGAAGTGTATTCAAAAGGATCAGGTGCCATCTTTCCAAAAAATTGTTTCATCTTTTGCCTCATTTGAATCTTTATTTTCCAATAAAATATTATATTTACAGCAAAGTCAACCTTTACCCATTTTCCAAAATCTATACTGGAGGCAAAACACTGGTAACACTGCACTATTAACAGTGTTATTCCATCTTAGATTTTCAAGTATGGAAGTACTCCTTTTCTAAGCAAATCCGACTTTTGAATAAAATTCATAACAAACAAATCACCTAGTAGCTGAGGTAGAAACTAAGAATGAGATTGCCAACAAGCAGCAAACCAAAAAATTAAACAAAATTGTTTAATCTTTTCCAACAAAGGCAGGAGGAGATAGCTGTGTGCAGTGAGCAAGGTGTTGATATTGAGAAAATGTCTGCTCAGAGCCCAGAGAAACTCACCTTGTTTAAGTGAGAATGACATTTGCGCTTCATTTCACTTCTCTTATCTTTATAGTTGGAGAAAAAAGGTCTCTTCATGCTAAATGACAAATTCTTAATTATAAAGCAATAGGAGATCAGTTGGAGCAGCAAGGTGGTGGATTGCATAGTGCACTTAAAGCAATTTAATGGTTATCTCACTCTAGCTGTTTCAAAAAGGAAATGTAAATTGTTTTCATTCATGTGTCCAATCTATGCAGCTCCACAAATTCAATGGAAGCCTTTGCTTCTGATTTGCCTTATGTGGCACTATGTAGACTCAGTTGGGAAGAAATTAAGGTATACAGTTACTTGTGCATTTCTGATACTTATGCTAAAGTACAGTGCATGATGTGCTGGACCCACACTACGAACACGACATCCACATCAAATAGCACCATCTTTCCCTTAAATCACATGATATTTGCAGTAATGAAAGATCATTGACAGCTAACTTTCACTCATCCATGCACCTTAATGACCAGCTACACCATTTCTCTGGACCTTGATTACAAACTATTCAGTTATGCCAATTCAGTGACTGCTAGGGACAAAGCCTTTGTGTGATAGGTTACTGAATATTTGTGCCAAGCACAAATTTCACAAGGTTCTCAAAGAAATCACAGAATGAAGCTGAATAATGCTGCAGCATACTAACATCAGAGATTTCAACTGGTACAATTAACAATAATTAATTACATCAAACCTAACGGCTGAAACTCCAGAACAGTCTCCTATATTCTATTATAAATTGTCCTTCCAAACAGAATGCGGAATGCTACATTCCATTTAAATAGGTTTCTTAAGAAAATGTGTTTCAAGTCAAAAAATTGATTTATTTGACAAACATAAAACAAGCAAAATATTGCATTATCCTGATCATAATCTCTTCAAATCATGAACACTTTTAATAAAGAAACCTCATTTCTCTTGCAACATGTCTCTGACCACCTACAGCCCTGGCATGAATTAATACTGTAATATTCACATCTCTACACCAACTGAGAAAATGTCTGCTCAGAGAGAACCTCCTACCTTCTTTAAGTGAGAATGACATTTATCCCCTATTGCTATCTTGCGCTAACAACATAACTGTAATAAAAACAGAACAGTTCTGAGGAAGGGTCACTGGACCCAAAATGTTAACTCTGATTTGTCTTCACAGATGATGTTACATCTGCTGAGTTTTACCACCATTTTGTTTTCATTTCTGATTTCCAGTATCTACAGTTCTTTCTGTTTCAATAAACATAACCGTGTCTCACCAACTCCGACACACTTGTTTTCCTTGCGCAAAGTAAATGGCACTATGAATCAGCTTAAGTTCAGGATTTTCAAACTAAGGAACTACCCCGGCTCCTGTGACAATATTTTCTGGGATTTGATATTGGAATTATGGACTTGATATACAGAAAAAGAAACTTGATACAACACTGATGTTCTATACATAGTTTTCTTTAATTTTCTCTCTGCTTTGCTTCAAAACAATGAGTCTAATCGGTAAATGATTCAGATAGTTCTGTGGGAGCTGGTCTACGTGGCCATACTTCACATATATGTCAAAATATTTGATTTTACCCAACCATTGAGATATTAAATATCAGAGGTTAAATGCTGGTTAGATAGAATCTAACTATGTACTTTTCAAGTCAGAGTTTTATTTCTACTCTCATTCCACAAATTCCACCACTGACTTTTTGTTCCCTATATTCTGCTTTTTTAACTCAGTTAAGTGCTGACCCAATTATCCCTCAGTTAACATATAACCATCATTGAAGGGCCAATAAAAAGGGGACATAATTTTGAAGTGAAAGCCAGGAGGTTTAGAGGGGATTTGAGGAAAATACATTTTCCCCCGAGGGTGGTGCAGCTCTGGAATGCACCGCCTGGGAGTGTAGTTGAAGCAGAAACATTAGTCTTTAAAAAGTGCTTGGATGAGCACTTAAAGCGTCATAACATTCAAAGTTACGGACCTAGTGTGGGAAAGTGGGTCAGGTGTAGGTAGGTGGTATTTTTTTGGTGGTACAGACTTGATTCACCATAGGATCTCTTCTATACTGTATGAATCTATAGTTCCATTTGGTTTCAGCCATCTCTGTCATACCTTATTAGTTGATAACATGAGATACCACAGCAAGATGTAATCAATCATGCTTTTGCTATATTTTGTAAATATAAGATTGCAATTTCCATTGAGGGATATCTCATATCAGAATATCAATAATTGATCAATGCTGATCCAAACTTTCTTATCTTGACAGGCTATCTGGTGCGATGCATCACTACATCAATTTCCAGACCAATATCAATTGTAGAAAACCAATATCACCAGGTAGCACCTACAAGCAGAGTCCTCTCTCCAAACTGTCGCATTAATTGTCATTCAGTGTCCATAACGCATCATCTTACTTTGTTTGTAACTTGCAACATACAAGAATCCTAATGCAACAGTTTGGAACAAAACAAGTTTACTATATAAAAAAGGAGAGTAATAGAAATAAAAACAAAGAACTGCACATACTGGAAATGTGAAACACAAAATGCTGGAGAAATTCAGCAGGTCTGGTAGCACACGTAGAAAGAAAAACATAATTAATGTTTTGACTCCAGTGGACCTTCGACAGAATGAGAAAATAAAAGAAACCTTGTTTACTGCATTAGCTCTGAACACCTACTAAAGTGCTGAAAATTCTGTTCTCACTAGAATTACAGCATTCTATTAGGTTTAAGAGGAGATTTGGCTAGAATTTTAAGGCTGCAGAAATACCTTTTGTGATCAATTACTGAAGGCGACACTCAACGGCTTGCCAGGGAAAACACCAAAAAATGAGTCCCTGAGAAAGGGGAGCACCAGTTTCTGTTGAATTGTCTTTTGTATACTGCAGTCATAAAATAACACTTTTCCACAAAGTCGACAAATCTCATTAATTATCTACCTTAGTGTAAAACGATGAAAAAACACTAAAAAGCGGAGGAAATAATTTGATACATGATGATCACTTTGCTTTACTCTGGTTGATAAGGTTCAAGCTCTTGACTGATATGATGACTGTAAAAACCCACATAAAAATGTTTTTTTCTAGACTTGATAGTTTAAAAGTTCTTCTCTCTTAACTCTATGAAGTGGAAAATGTTAATTGCACAGGAGGTGCGCAAGACAATACAATAGCAGCAACACCATCATGGAGTTCAGAGGGCCATTGCAATTTGTGATATCATCTGAACCATTTAATTCATCACCATCTTGTCATCGGAGTGACATTTGACTTAACTCACTTTTTTTCGAGTGGGTTCAGAGGAAACAAACTGCAGGTATGAAGCCGATGATTTATGAAGTTTGTCAAATTTCTTCAATCATACTTTATTATTACTATCTAATCAAAGACAGTTCCTTAATAAAAAATACAAAAATGTTCTTTAAAAAGAATGTCTACTATTCACAAATTATCTGAGGAGTTATGACTTCTTCTCTGTGACAGGTACTATGACCGAATTGAAACAACCTAGGCAAAACTGACGATTTTACTTAAAAAGTTACCTTTTTCACAAGTGACGAATAAGGGCTTTCAACATAGAGTACATTGAGAAGTTTTCCTTTCCAATTTTCATGCCTGCCTTCCTGAAAGTTCTGGCTCTTATAGTTCAACTACCCTTCTGTACCCTGTTCAAGTGATCTGACACTATGGATATATAAACATTAGTTGATTTTGACAATCAGGCATAATTCAGCCAATAATGATCTTAGCTTCACAGAATATCAATTCAAAATAAACATTCCTCGAAAGGAGGAACATTGGGTAATTTTTCACCTTTGAGGGATGTATAGGAATGCTATGGCCAACTACATATTCACCACATTAGATCAGCGAATACAGCACTGACTGGGGAGTTGAACCTGAGATATAGTGCAACACTGGGAGATGCTTTTATTTGCTAGTTTTCAGAAAACTTATGTTGGATATGGTATGAAATTTTTTTTTTTAAGTCAGATCATCTATAATCTTTACAGAATATCCTACAAACCGACAAATAACTAGTTTAGTGGTTTATCATGTCTTTGTGATGCATCTCAAAGTTATTCATTCACAATGACTTCAACAAATGAAGTGAGTATACAGAAGAAATTAAGATAAAATGATGAACTAGAAAAGATTCAAAGATGGTGCACACATGTATGGGAAACATCTAAAAATCAAAGGATGATCAGAACAATTTAGAATTAAATATTGATTGCAAAAATTATAACCATTTACAAATGTGAGTATGTGACAATAAATTTAATTCAAATAGCAGATCTACTACTCCTGAAATGTACAATTACAGTAACCTGTTATTAATGCATTAAAGTATATTTACAAATGGATATGATTCAAATGCAGCAATTACTTGTTTTACGGAATTATTGAATGCAATATCAGGTAAAAGGTCCAACAACTCATTGTCTGTGTTAGCAGCGATTATTATTCCATTTGCTTCCTATCTCTCTGAAGGTACTGACTCATGCTGTGATCCAGTCCAATAAGTACCTGTCGCTTTCAAGTAACCTGTCCAGGTGGTCTAACTTCAAGTGAAAATTGTGAGTAAATATTAGTCAACAATGGGGCCAACACACGCAGTTTCCCTGGTGGCAATTTAATCTAAAGATATACACTCCTTCAGAAGGTCCAACTGTCCTCTCTCATACAAGACATCTAAAAGGGCAGTTGTAGCACTTAGAATACACCATTTGACAGCAACTAATTCAGTACTGATTGGTACTGACGCTCGGAATGTTTTGGTCATGAGAAAGCACTTAGCATCTCATCTCACGTGAAAATTGTTCCTATTTGGCTCAATTCCACACCAAGCATTTACTCATTGTACCACAGAGATTCAATCCTTGAGTTTTAGAAACCATTTTCTTCTTGTATGCATTATTCTTTAACTTTTCTTAGGAATTATCAATTTACATAATTGAACTAATTCAGTCAAAGCATAAAGTGTAGGTTGCTTTGTGGAATATACATCATCTTGGTTTGTGTAGGCCCAGTTCAGTTTAGTTGCATTCTCACCAATCCATTTCTAATAGAAAAGAGCTCCAAATTTCTTCAGTGCACACCAAATTACAGTGACTCATTAATGTCTTACATTAATGCATCATATACTTAAAATTGACAATAATGAAAAACATACACAGATGGGGTTCAAGAACGAGACACATAAAAGGGAGATCAAAACAAGAGCATCCGTTACCCCTTTCTTGTAATAGAAACTGAAGGCCATTTTCTAGCCATGTTTTTCTGTGATCGAAGACCATTCAATAGTAGAACAGATTCTATCTTCTAATTTTAAAACACTAAATAACTGGATAAAAATCAAGTTTTGCAAAATAACTGCCAGTTCTTTCACAGGTGCATTGTGCTGAAAGAGCAGGCGTTACATTTCTTTGGGCGGGGGTAATGTTCTTAAACAACTAGTAACCTGCCTGCTTCAGTATCTAAAATCTTCATTGAGAGAGAGAGAAGTTTATAAGCTCAATGTGTCACTTGCACCACTGTGCTGCAATGAAGAGTGGCACCAAGTAGTGCTGTGCCTGGCTCCCTCTGCCAGTGAAAGCACATTTCTGAAAGCAGCTGCATCATTCGAGGACATACATTACATGGAGAACCAATTGGTGCAATTAAAAAAAAAGCAGAAGGAGATCAAGAGGATTGATGGTCTGAATCATGGAAAAACTGCCACTGCTATGCATTTTCAAGAAGGGTGCCAGCAACTGATCAGACCAATGTTTAAGTCTTCAGGAAAAAAAGCAAAACCTATACATTTCAGAAAAAAGAAACAAACAAAAACACGAAAATGGCAGAGTAATTGGTTTATAAAGTCACATTTCATTTTCGTCTTCTTAGTTTGTAGTTTGTAACAAATATGGATTTCATTGCTTGTGTGATAAAGCTTTCAAAGGCAGTGCAGCTTGTACATTAAGCCCTGCTAATGTAATGTAATCAATCTGCACTTCTCTCTGCAGCATATTTCTGACAGCTCAACCTCACGACGTTACTCCTACACACTACTTAGCAATCCAAGAGCTGCACAGATACACCAACATAGCAGCCAAGTACCAGAAGCTGAAGGAGTGAAGGAACTGAGTCACAAACTGCAGCAAATTCTACCTGATTTTAGATATAATTTCAGAAGAAAATAACAAAATTTAAATTTAAAGTATGATCAGTTTAGACTATCTACTTTTATATGCTATTCCAGAGAGGAACTCACTTGTTTAGCTGCTGGATGACTACTCTGAACAGCTGGACATGTTAGCTTAAATTATTATACTGGTTTTACTCAAATTTTCTCTTCTGTTGAAGGAGTCCCCATTTGCACTGGTTGCCACTAACTGTTGACACAAGAGGCCATTCTTCATCTGAAATCCACATCCCCACACATACATTACATTAGCAGTCATTAGATGACAGTGAAGAGTGGAAACCTGGGATAATTTTCCCTTTCCTCCAGAGCTCAGGGCAGCTGAGGCCAGATCAACAACTTCTAACTGCTGAAATCAGCTAAGTTCAGACCAAGGATCAAACTGTGGATATTCTTGGTGTTTTTGGCTCAATCACACACCAAAGAGCAAATAGACAATAGAGAACCCATCAGTTACAACCTGAATCCAGGAACTGCTGTGAAAGCAGAAATTTATAACCTTAGTTTTCAGTCAATAATTTTAATTTTAAAATTATAATATATTATACTTGGTGGAATATGAAATTAAAGTAAAAATATACAGTTTCCACTCAATGGTTTTTGACAGTACTCTCCCTCCTTTTATCTGAGGGGACGGGCAAACTCAGGTTGGATTCTTGCCCCTCAAATTTGAGTTTTTGCAAGTGATGAGTCACATGACTCATCCCCTCTCCTGCAGATGATGATTTACTTTGTCACTGTAATCCATTCTGTACATTAAGTCATGTCTGACTCAAAAATACTAAATGCATCACAACTTCAATTGAGGGACTGAAGTATACTGCAGCTTGAATTTACATTTATGGCCATGGAGTTACAACATAATTTAAGGGTAAAAGCAAATCTATGTGCAAAGAAATGGAGGAAGCTTATATCAATATAGTGACAAAAAAGTACCAGCTCTCTGTGAATCACAGAAAATTAGTGACTCAAATTAATTTGTATGAATAAAGATAAAGCCTCACAAGCTGAGATCTACCTTTAGATTTGTTTAAGCTAAACTGGTTTATAGGATGGGACAGCACTGGCACCAGAGTCCTGTACACTAAAAAGTTGGAAAACTGCAAATATTTCACAGGAAAATGTGATCTTTCTTAACAAAATACTGAACTTCATTTGGTGCATAAGCACTTCTTTGAGCCCTGAATCAAGTGTTTTCTGTGCATATCCCTTACAGATTGAAGGGGGGAGGGCACTCAAGTTACACTTTGTGTCTCTGTTGATGGCTTGTCATTGTCATGCCACTCTGTCCAGTTCTCCTCTCTGCTCTGAAGGGCCATTCGATGTTTGGTTAACTTTTTTCACTCCTTCCATCATTCCAGTTGTAGTCACACTGCAAATGAACAGAAAATCTGCTGTATTATTCTAGATTAAAACAATCCATCCAGTAATAATGAGTATTATCAACTAGGTTAGCAGTAAGTCCTTGGATATCTCACCCAAATGGTCATGTTGCATTTGACAGCTCAGCTACAGAGTACCTGGAAAGTACATGACTAAAAGGGTAATACAGCCAAGCCCAATCAGTCCTTATCTGACACTCACATATGTGTACTTTCCATTTGGGTTCAGTAAAAAGCATTAATAAGCGAGAACCTTGGGTGATTGACTCTTCATAGACCAGAGGTTGAGTCTAAACAGCATTTTAGTTGCTGATTTGGCTGAGACCTTCAATTCAACAAACTAAAATGATATGGCACTCCTCCTACAGAATATTGCCAATACTTGGCATGTCGAATATGCCAACAGTACAATGAATTCAGCACATACCATGATATCAACTAGTGGATGTTTGCAGTCTTGTGACACAGCACAACACCAAAATGTCACTGAGCATCTCAAGAGGGAGCTCACACATTACTTTCTTTGAAGGAAAATGTTCTGTTTTTTTGTTCAGGTCTCTCCACGATTGCTTGTATCACTAAATTCCCATCCCTTACTTCAGTCTGAAAATGGGACTTGTTGAGCATTGGAATTTTCCGTTCAGCTTTTCATATCCAATTCAAGCACACTGTTGTGATCACAAACAGCAAGTTCTCTTTTCAATGAGTGGGCAAGAGCTAATGGGAAGTTTTCAGGACTCCATTCCCTCCCCAAATGAGGTTCCTCTTCAATTTGCCATTCTGGCAAAAGGCCCCTGAAGCTCACTTTGAATGCAGCCACTGTATGTGTGTGCTGCAGTTATTGGTACGATGAACCAGTACAGGTTGTATACTCAACTCTCTGGACATGTTTTACAATATTCACTTCAGAGGTGAAATAAGACAGTCTTAAGATTGTGAAATAGTATTATTGGAAAATTATCACTAGTGAAGGAAAATAAATCCCCAATGCTACAAAACACAAGGAAAATGTATAGATATCTAAAAGCTATTCAGGCTAAAGAAAATAAATGGTTACCTGGACTCAATTTGGAATAATTATTGCAGCACTCAACAAAATACTGGTTAGTTCATGATTATACTTTATTTTAGGCCAACAGCAGACAGATTCTAGTTCGCAGAATGAATATCTAATGCACATTGCTCAAATAGATCAATAGGACTTACCATTGCACACCGATACACTTTAATGTCATGCTGGTTGTCTAATCATGGGGTAGACAATATTGCTGAAAGCCTTTACGTGAAAACATTTGTGTAGCTCAGAAAATCAGGATCAAAAGGGTAGATTTAAGTGGCCTACTGCAGCTTTGTTTCAGGCCTGCCAGAAAACCAAACTCTTCCAGCTCAAGCTGAACTGCAGTACTGCAAAGAGATAGCAAGCCGCAGTGTACACAAGTAGACTGCAGATAAAAGCTGACCTGCCAAAAACATGCCCCAGTTGCCCTTCGTAACACAGATGCTGCTGTATCTTTGCAAACCACAGTACAGCGGAAACGAACATTATTAAACAGAGCTGCATTTCAAGAAATTTTAAAAATATATATAATGACTGATGTCTCTGTTTCTTGATCCATTATTTGCCATCCATCTTCCCAGACTTGAAGTTTTGCTCAATTCTACTTCTACAGCACACAGCAAGGAGAGATTGAAAACAGTAACTATCTAATTGATTTCTTCACTGTATGTGGGTAAAGGGCTATACCAATAACTGTGTTATAAGGTTTTATGAGACACCTAAAGCAGCTTTCAAAGGAAATTGCCCTGATAAATTTTACAAAATTTTATTAAAACAAAAACCTTGTGCACGACAGTTACTGTTTCAAAATCTTCCCACTGTTGGTTTCAAGAAAAAAGACTTGCAATTTTTATACCTCCTTTCACAACCCAAGTGCTTTACAGACAGTGAAGTGCAACTGTGACTAAACTTCAGATGGAGAAAATGCAGTGTCAATTTGTACACAGTAAAATTGCATGACCACTAAAATGCTAGTAACCAGATAATCAGCTTTTTTGAGATGTAGATTAAGGAATAAATATTGGTCATGAAGGGGATAATACCTGTACTCTTCTTTGAAATTGTGCCGTGGGACATTTTACATCCACCTGAACAACTGGATGATACCTCTGACATTGCAATACTGTTTCAGTCTTGCATTGGAACATCAGCTTGGATTTTGTGTTCTTGTTTCTCTGATGTATAGCTTGGACTGAAAGCCTTCTGATTCAGAAGTGAACGGGCTAGTCACGAGGCCATGGATTTCGTACCGTGATTTACAAAATTACTGCTTTTTTTAAAACAAAGAGAACACATCTTCCTGCTGAGACACATTGTAACTGGAAATATTTCTCAGCAAATTCTGAGCAATTTTGTAAGAATAAAATGTGATGTGGGCATTTTACAGGCTATTTTGCCCAACTAGTCTATGACAACGTTTATGGTCTGCTCAAGCATCCTCGTACCTTTTCTCAGTTAAATCGTAACCCTCTATTCCCTTCTCCTTCATATGTTTATTAGCCTTCCCCCAAATGCATTGATGCTATTCATTTGGATTGCTCCCGGTCATAGCAAGTTCTATATTCTCATCATTCTCTGGGTTAAAAGAAATGTTTATTCTGAATTCCCTATTGGATTTTTGGTGACTATTTTACATTGATTGCGTCTAGTCTTGCTCTTCATTACAAGTGAAAATATTCTCTTTGTGTCTGCTGTATCGAAATCTTTCATTATTTTAAAGACCTCTATTCCATCATCTCTTGGACTTTTTTTTTTGAGAGAAACAAGACCTGCATTGTTCATCCTTCCTCTATGTGCACCCTGATCTTTCCGATATCGTGCTTTGCAAATCTTCTCTACATCCTCTTGATTGTACATTAAGATCACCTTCTCTGATTTACTTAGACAGACATCTTTCAAATAATAAGTAACTGCCCTTTCCCACTAAAATGTACCACAAGACCATTTGCGTCCAACTTCATTTGCTAATTATTTGCCAATTCTGTAAGGTTATCAATGTATAATTTGTTGCAGCCCTTCTTAGTATTGTTAACAGTGGCTAGACCTCACCACAATCACACTAAGCTTGTATCACTCAAATTTAGAAATTGTGGTTTTGATTTCAAAGTCCAAATCATTAATACAAACAACAGTCATCACAGCAATAATTCTTATCGAACAATTTCTAACTTTCTGCCACTAACTACTCTTTGCTCCCATTGTTTGTCTTGAAGCCACTTATCCCCAGATTTTGCACTGTCTGATCTAATTCAATATTCACTACGGGTCCTAAACAAAATATACAGAAAATTAGTATTTGAATTGAATGACTTGCTTCTCTGTCGCTTCTATCAGATAATTAAAGATTTGTGATTTTTGTCATGATGTGCAGTTTTCTTAAAAATTAATGAGTAGCTTTTACTTCCAACCTGTGAATCACTGACGATTTAACTTGCTCCTGACAGTGAAAGTGGCTTTGAAAACCAACTCCAGGGTATGATCTGAGCTAGAACATTGCTGAAAGCAGAGTTGCAGTAGTATATCTATAGACTCTCTGCAAATCACCAAGACTGTCAAAAACAATGAAGCAATGATTGATCAAGGTGTTGCCATAAAGGAACAAACGGGGAGCAGTACCCTGCTTCAGGGTAATTTAAACAGAGATTAAGTTTTTTTGGATAGCATACTTTCCTGTTGAACTTTTATGCCCATTTTTTAAATTACCCAGAGCCTAAAATTCATCATTGGCCTTGGTGAAAACAATTAACACCCCTTTCTTCCAGGATAACTTGTCATGATCATTTTAAATTTGGCATTCTTGCATTTTTCTTGATGAGTGTGAGATGAAAAGTGTAGGTAGCATTCAGTATATCTTTTTTCAGCAGCATTCAAGTTGAGTGCTAACAAGTGACTGTGTTTCTTAAAAAAAAGACTTAATGAAAAATGTTTGTTGAACATTTAACCATCACCTGAAAAAAATGCTGACCGACTTGTTTTCTCTCCATCTTCCCAGTAGAGCTTAGTACACTTTCTGAAGTTTACAAAATCAGTGAAAACTATACTTTCTACTCACTGCGAAGACAAACCTTTTTGTTAGAAAACTAACTATAAATTTTAGCCCAGTAAAATTGTTGCAATTTTATATCTTTGTTTCCCAAAATTATTATTTTTATTAAAGCTTCAAGCTGTTATTAACAGCATTAAAAGTTTAACTGATAAGTGTAATCATGCTATTTTACCATATTGTCCTGGACCTGATGGACTAACTGGCCTCTTCCACTGCCATAGTAAATCTGTGACACTTCTTAATTTTATTTAAAATGTTAGAAATTTGAGCTACACTAGTAAACTACTGACACAATGGTGACGATAGTAATGAAGGCCGAAGAACCGTTGAAAGGTGTATCCACGTTCATTTAGTGTCAGTCTCTATAAGCCATAAAATTACCTGACTTCACCTGGCAAAGGAGCAGCGCTCCAAAAGCTTGTGATTTCAAATAAACCTGTTGGGCTATAAGCTGGTGTCATGTGACTTCTGACCTTGTCCACCACAGCCCAACAACAGCACCTCCACATCATAAAATCACCTGACCGAGCAAATAGGAATACTGAAACTGGCAGAAAATAAGAGCATTAAATAAAAAATCACGCATTGTGTTAGATCTCATTTCCAAGGGTCTGTTTGACATTGCAGCCTGATGTTGAGCCACAAGACTCGAAACATTCAAATTTGAAATCATCATTCCTGAATAATCACTCTCCCCTTCTTAATATTCACCTAACAATGTTGTGGGTGTACATACATGACATGGACTGCAGCAGTTCAAGAGGTGGAGGTGGCTCACCCCTCTAAAGGGCAACTGTGGATAGACAAGTATTGCCAATTGCTCACATGCCAGGACTGAATAACTAAAACTTCTCCTTGTCAAGTGCCTAAGAAGCTCAGCAGGAAGC